CGGTAGTATTCCCTCTCGTAGCGACGTTCGAAAGAGTATTAGAACTCTCTTCTTTACGGCCGGCTATACCCGTTTCTATACTACCGCTAGCAGCCTATCCTCTCCTACTACTTTCTACGACTACGCTACGAATACGCTCCGTTTAACTTCGTCTATAGTAAGTAGAGGTATATAGACTAGCCTCCTCTGCTTTCGCTACTCTTCGTTCTTAATTATAAAGGGAAGGGGTAGAAAGAATATTAATAGTAACTCGGTCGCCTGCTCTCCTTTACTACTTATAATCGACCTATCTCTTTTCGTAAAAGGCGGGATCTAGGACGAGTCTAGACTAATATCGGCCTTTAGATACTTCGACGCCTACTAGATATTATTAGTATTATCTAAGAACTCTTCCTAGTGCCTCCTCTACTACTAACGGACGGTATTATAATATTCCTTAGAAGCGATCTATATCTATTTCTCGAGTTGTTCGCTATAGCTTCCTACTCTATAATAGCTCCTTACTCTATTCCTCTAGTAGGTATAGATCTAACGAAGCTTAGTAAGGTCGTATATCTACTACCTTTTCGTATATAGCGATAGTTTTACGATAGAGGTAAGTACGTAAACTACTATAAGTACCGCACTTATAAGTTAGTCGGCCTACGTCTATATATCTACTTATATATACCCGTATACGTTTACGGCTAATAGCTAGAGTATACTAGTAATCCTCGTATCGTATAGATCTCCTTCTAGGATATATTCTTAAATAGTAGTCGTAGCTAGACTATATACTCCGGCGTATCGATATTAAGAGTAGTCTCGATTATATAGTAGTCCGACCTATACTTAGTCCTATAAATCCTATACTAGATAAGTGCGGCGGCTAGTTCCTCGGAGGCTAGTACTAGATCGATAGTACTTTCGTACCTACTATTCTACTACGTCTTAGTACCTCTCGGAAGGAGACTATATAAGGTATAGTCGTTTATAAAGTCTACGAGTCCGTCGGCCTCTCCTTGCCTAGTAGGTAAGATATCGTTACTACTCTATAGCTAGTTATATTAGTTAAAGTCGCTAGTAAGAAGTATATCTATTCTTTCCCTTATTACCCGTCTCCTTATAGTATCTACGCTTTACTATAGTAGCTATATCGTCTCTACGAGTACTTCCGGGTTAGCTAGTACTACGTAGACCGATACGATAAACACCGATCGATCGGATAGATATAATAGCGCTATAGTAATATCGGGAGAGAGTACCGGGACTAGTTCGCTCTCTATTCCCTTCCGGATCTAGAGTATACTCCTAATTATCTATCTGCCTTCGCGCGTCTCTATAGATATTATCTTAGTCTAATATAAGTAACTTAGCAGTAGCGTAGATACCTTACTATCTCTTATAAACGAGTAAGGCTCTAATAGCGCGACAATTCCGAAGTCCTAGAGGCCTATATTATTTATAACGCTATATTATACTACTCGTCGTTTCTCGACATTTAGTAAGAGAACCTTTAGAAAGCTAGGTATTAGCGATAGGAGGAGGATATAGTATCCGATAGTTCCTACTATACGATTCGTATAGTCTACTATATAGGATATATTTCGGAACTAAGCCTTCGATATTATATTCGGTATAGTAGTAGCCTTCTTATATATACTTAGCGTACCTCTAAGGTTTGTTATATATATATACGATATAGCCTATCTCCTAGTACCTATAGTACTATATTAGTCGTCGGCGTAGTTTATAAACCCGAGTATATACCGATTCTCCTACTACGTAGAAGTACTATTCTTATAATAGGCGTGCTACGTCGTTACCTCGAGTTAGGTAGACTATTATCGACCTATATACCTTTATACTATCCTTTCGGCTAATCTATATAATCTTAGCGATTTTAGTCTCG